GGTTAAGGATGTCCAATCAGCCTATCTCAATAGAAGAAAACATTGAAGAGGTAGAGAGGTTGGAAACAGGTACAAGCTTAAACACATTCAGTTTTCAAATTTTATATTTCACCTTATTGTTACTTAATGTTGTGTTTTTAATGCAGAATTAACTGATGACAATGTTGGTGGAGGCCCTTCTCTTGATCAGATAATAGTAAAACTTTTCCATTATCTTTTAAATATGTTATATGTTACTTCACTAATGATATGCTATGTTATGATGGTAAATGGAAGTGTTGTTGTTTCACTGGTACAATTTCACCTAATTAGTGTGTTTGTACAACGAGACATGGTAATCTTGTTTCTCTCTATACTAATTGATTATAGATTAAGTGTTGCATATAAACCAAAGTTCAAAATTAAAAGAAATGACAAACGAAAATAAGAAGCAGTAGAAAGAAGAACAAGAAAATACAAGAAGAAGGCTGAAAATGAATGGAAAGTGAAGAGGAAAAAAAATGTAAAATATAAAAAGTGAAAACAATGGAAAGTGGGGACAAATGGGAAGAAACACCTGAAGAGAATAAAAGGGAGCAAATAATTGATGACCTTCAATTACAAAAATATTGGGTGTACATATACACCTGGGTGTACGGTATATATTGCGCCCTACGACCCGTAGGGAATTCTCGTGAGTAAATGACATGACTTTTTAGCCAAGTGATTAAATAAAGTAATTTAGGTAAAAAAGAGAAGAAAGATTTTTTTTTTAAAAAATAGACATATGAAGTGAAAGTAATTAAAGGAAGATAAATTGGGGGAGGGGAAATTGTGAGACTTGACATGTAATGAGTAGCAAAGAGATCAAAATTTGAGTAAAAGTGTAATTAAAGAGGGTAAATTATTTTCTACAATGGAATGAGAACCTTTAAATGAAACACACAAATAAGCAAAGTGATAACCTTTCACTTTGCTTATTAGAGTCAAACTAGTTCATAATCATACAGTGTTCCAATGAAAAATGTCATGAATAACAGTAGATTTTGGATGACTTTTGGAATGAAACTCGATTCTTACAACAATATTAGAGTCAAACTAGTTCATAATCATACAGTATTCCAATGAAAAATGTCATGAATAACGGTACGATCCAAACTATTATAAGCCCGTTTGGTGACCATATTTTTAGGCTTCAATCTTATTAGTGTAATAATAAGAAAAGTAATGTTGGGGTTACTTTCTGGTTGTATTGGCTGAAGTTACTATAGAGAACCATTTTAGCTATTATTTCGTGTATTTGTTTCTTCATTTTATTATTAAAAATATTTTAAAATATAATTTTTCATAAATTAGGAGAAACGGTCAACCAGTCACTTAAGTAAGAATTTCATAAATTTCAGCAGAATAAGCACATTCAGTCGATTACAATGTTACCAAATAGGCTTTATTAACAAAAGCTTAAATGAGTGTTTTCAAATGACAACTTCTACTTAAATTAATCACTTAAAAGCTAAAAGCTAGAAGTAAGTTGAGAGGTGTTTTAAAGTGTTTTTCACTTTTTCTTATTACACAAAAATCGTTTATTTTATCATACATTACTCACTTTTACTTTTCGAAATCATTTTTTTCTCAAACACTACTAACTTTTATTATTAAGCATTTTCTCTATAATCACTTAAAAATGTAGTTGCAATCCCAAACACTTACTTGGTCGAGTACGAAGGTTTCCCTTGTAGACGTGTCTCATAATTTTTAAATTTTCTTAAATCAACGAATATATTTAAAAAAATAATGATTTTTTTATCATCAAAACAAACCGCCTTATATTAAAATCATATGAAAGGAATCGTCGTTACAACAAACTCAAAAAGACCAACCCGACAACAACCATCCCTAACCAACTAGCAGTATCAATCCTACGGCTAGACTCAGAGACGATCACCTCTGAAAGGGCAATACGAATCGCTAACCACCAAACGGGTGTGACACAGCACATATAGATCCTTCCATCGACATAACATCTAGCAGATTTGTCAATCATAATTGTAGACCAAGAACTAAAGACATCAACAAAAAAACAGAGCAACATAAAAAACGCAAAAATAAACCATAAAAAATTAAATAACTCATAAATCTTCCAAACCCTAGCATCTCGACCGCTCCAAGGCGGCAATTCAGGAGGGGGGCGGACCGCCGATCTGTCTTCTCCCTTGCTCAGTCCTTCACCCTCTACCCATGTTGATTCGCCCGAAATTAACCCTTCGATCTCCACCTCAATTGCCGGAATGAGGCAACACTGCTCTAAATCATTCATAGAAGACATGATTATCGTTTCACTAGTGGAAAACGAGTGATATGCGGCGCCTGTTTTGCGGCACTTAAACAATAAGTGCCTTTAAAAATCTAATGTGCGGTGCCTATACTCTAAAGCGCCGCCCACCCGTTCAGTTATTTAATTAAAATTGTTAATTAAAATGGTGTGCGGCGCTTCATTTTATTTAAACGTCGTGTTGAAGGTAAGTCCCGTAGATCCGAAAGCCCAACACAACTTTGGATATATCAGGAATGGTCCAGAATCAAAGTGTATAACCAAATATAAAATATGAACTCACTAATACTCAAAAGCTCACTTGTATTAATTAACCAGTCTGATTACAAGGAAATTCCCGATCAGTAGGTCGGAATAATGCTTTAATACAAGAAATAAGAGCAATAATGCTATTCTAGAGCCTGAGTGGAGAACATGGGCTGCTCTATGGTGATTGGCTGTTGTTCCACCGACTTGGTCACCCATGTTTCCACTTGCTGATGTCACAATCTGGCATTAATTGCACCTGGCCACTTGTCGGTTGTCCGTTGCTCGAACGGGATGTTGGACCATGCTGAAGACGCTGTCAAATTGGCCCAAGTATGATATATAGTCCGAACTCCGTTCGGTATATCTTCTTACTGGGCCAACCCTTTCTTGGGCCGAATCTCGTTCGGCATGAATTTTTCACTGGATCTACTCATCATAGAGTGATGGGCTCGTCGTTTGGGCCGGGTATCTTGGGCCTTCTTGATCCGGGTATTGGGCCTCTGGATCAATATCCAAACACAAGTCCCCCACTTCCGATGTCTCGAATGACAGTGAGTGCATTAGGAAGTATGAACACCAATGTTGCAATTCGCCGAATGACGATCGGGGTACAGAAGTAGTCAGTTCCCCATACTGTGATTTGACGGCTGTCGTTTTATTTTCCCATACTCATCATGATAACCGTCATTTAGTCTTTTCATTGGACACGTGTTTAGCTTAAATGCTTCTGATGACGAGTCGCTTCCTGATTGGTCCTCGATACGGCAACTTAAAGGCTATAAATTAGCCCTTAACCTTTCAAATCCGGGTTTCGATTCTGCAATCTCCCTCGCATCGTTGCTCCCTCTGAAATTTCTCCCAGCTTTCGTCGCTCAGGTACCTTTCCTCCCTCTATTTTTTCTCCTCATTTCTCGCTCGGTCGAGATGAGTTCTCAACAGTATTCTCCTGATTCGGAGATGGCCTCCCATGGAGATGACCGTGACGCTGCTATTGTGGATGTCATCACAGTCCCATTCGCCGGTGGTTCTACTGAAACGGCGACAAATACTAGGGCTGAGGCGGAGGACTTTCCTAGCACTTCATCTTCCTCTGATGAAAGCTCTGATGGCACAAAATCCAAGGATGAAATGGATTTAATGGCGGCTGGGCGGCCAAAAGATGTCCCCCGTCATTCCCTCGACCTAGGTTTAATTAGGGCAAGACGGCAGAAATTGACTGCCAATAATAGGGCCGAAATTCCGGCCTTAATCCCAGACTTAGTGGACTTTCGATTGCAAGCTGGGCTTCATCCCCTGCGTCACGCCCCTGGGATGATCGTGGTCCATTTTGATTCAGTGAGGGATGGGCTTAGATTTCCGTTACATCCCTTTTTTATTTCATTTTTTAATTTTTATGAAATTGTACCTGCCCAAGTCATGCCGAACTCCTATCGGGCAATGGCTGGCTTTATCTGTCGTTGTAAAGATGTCGGTGCTTCACCGACCTTAGATTTATTTCATCAATTTTTTAAAGTAGCCCCCCAACAAACTCATGGGTACCTAGCCGCTAGTTCCCGAACGGGCCACATTCTATTCAAAGGCAATCCAACCTCAATCAAGGGATGGAAAGATAGATTTTTCTTTGTGTCTATCCCGGACGGGTTGATCCCTCATAAATGGAACGCCTTTCCCCGCAAGACTCCCGACCCAATTCTCACTGAGGAAATCTATAAGGACGTACTCGCTGTGGAGAAGGACAAGTGTTGTGATATCATGACCTACCTGACTCCCGATCGGCTTGTTAAAGCCGGGATAGGTACTGCCCGTTCTCTTGGGTTTACTTGTTTTGAGAATCAAGTGCCATAGTCCGGGCGGTCCTTCCCGTGCGAGAAACGTTCCCTTCTTGTTACTAGTTTCTCACATGCTAAAGGCCGCTCGGTACTAACATTTCCCTTTGTCATTTTAACCTCCCAATCCAGACGCTACTATGGATGACAGTCGTGTGCTTCTTGTTGGCGGGATCGGGAAGAAGAAAATGAAGAGGAATCCAAAAGTTGATTCACCCACCACTACTGCTCCACAACCCGAACCTGCACCGACCGTTCAGCAACTGGAGCTTATTCAGCAATTTTCTGGTCAGGATCATTATGATTCCATGATGATCGATGACCGCTTTGGTTCTGATCAACTGCATCAGTTTTCCCAACACTTTGATTCCGTTCAGGGGGAAACCTCGAACGTAGGCGGGAATCATACCGACCATATCACTGGTCAGGTCGAACGGATCTCTTTATCCCACAGACGCCAATCAGCAATGATATATCCAAAGTTGTGTTGGGCTTTTGAAGTTGGGCTGCAAAAGGACGTAGCAGGACCTGGCCGATCTTGGCATAGAGATCTGCAACAATGGATGTAACACCCCCATTTTTTTTCACCCAAAAATACATTTAAATAATGATTTATTCAAAGGAATACTTTATTCATTCATCAAAGAGTTGAAGAATTACAGTGGAAGTCTAAAATAGGAAATGGGTGTTACCGCCACACCCGGTCATCTCTCAACCGGATGCACAGGCAACTAAAACCAAAAAGAAAAAAATAAGTGTTTATTTCAAGACTAAATTTGACTAAGGCATCTTCTAATTCGCTCTCAATCGCATGCAATCCATCAATCCACATAGGAGTCCAATTCCTCACCTGTTAAAAATTAATGGGGGAGGTAGGGACAAGAAAAATAACAAAAATTAGCTTTAGAGCTAAGTAAGTACTACCCAATCCCGTAAAATAATCAGGTTTGGCGAAAAATAGTTTTTCATATAATTCTATATAAAAATAACACACTCCACCAAAATTCTTTTCTCTTCTATTCTTCTCAAAATTACTTCTTTACTAAAATCCTCAACTTTTCTTCGGAAATATTATAATAACTCTTCTCTTAAAAATTCTCAACAATCTCTTCTTCACTAACTTCCTAGTAATTTAGAAGGGCGGTGCTCAACCTTTCGGCTGAGCCCGGTGAACCGTGGTTACGGACGGCCACCCCGATCAATGGCGGTACCACAACGCTCTTGTGGAAACGAAACGACTACCTTAAGTGTGCACACCCTCTAAAAGGGATTCCAAGCCCTCCGAGTAGTAAGTCATCCCGAGTAGTCGGGACTCAGTCTACCAACTACCCCTGAATAAGATATCTCTGAATGATTAGGGACTACTACTACAACTCTGCTTCTTAAAATGGATCATCGATCCGGAAGTTACTCAAAAATCTCTTCTTCTTAGTAGTAGCCCTAACCACCCTCCACATTTTAAGGGACGTGGAAAACCGACACCCCGGATTACTCCCGAGATGCCTACCTCTTTATGAAATCATTCTTTTATCTTGAATTAATATATCTCAAAATATTCTTCAATTTCTCAAACTGCTTCGAAAATGTTTAAATAAAATATTTAATACCCAAACGCACTTAGTTTCACTTCTCAAATATCACAGATCGAACAACTTCAAAATCACATGCATATACATCATAACTCACACTAAAATCACGTATCACATAGTACATATATAATACGAGGAAACGATTTTAGATTGGCAGAGAAACTTACCTCAAATCTGATGCTCCTAATTCATGTCCCCTACTTCAGTCTCTAAATAATCACCTTTTTATTTAAGAGTATACCACAATTAGTCTTTTATTCTATAATGATCCCGATTCCCCTTCTACAATATTTTAATCAATCTATTAGTCACTTAAATAAGTTATTTATTTTAATCACTTTCCTTTATTTATTAAGTTCGTTGTATACTTAGCGGTTAATAATAAACCTCTGTAAATTCCATGAATGCCTATTTACGTTAGTTTAGTCCATTACTAACTGAATTTTTTTTATTATTCACGGTAGCCGACTTAGTATAATTTTAGTGGAAATAGTAGTCTAATTTAAAAGTCTCTAAATTAAATTAAACTGGCCAAATTTATATATATATAAAAAATATTCATTTTATTTTACCTATATTCAAAATGCTCGCTAATTATTCGAATGTCTTACAAGTATCGTAAAACGACTGAGCTATTTAAATTGAGCTATGCGAATTATGTAGTTCTACTAAAAATGCCAGAATGACGGATTACAATGTTATCCTATTAAAATATGTTAATTAAGATATGCCAATTCTGTTATAAATTCATTTAATCTTATCTACATTTAGTCAAATCCACTATTAAGCATTTTAGGTCAAGTAATCAGTTTGTTAATTTTACCTTAACGATGATAAATTTGCCAAAGTAATATCAGATATACTTAATTAAGATTCTCCCAACTTATTATTATTATTAATAATAATATTACAGAATACGCAGTATGTGCACAACATACTCACTCATCTTCTTCGTACAATACGCTGGAAGAGTGAAAAGGAGTGCAGGCTTACCTCTTCCGGACGACGGGCGGTGGAAAGGTAACGGTACGTAGCGGCAACCAGTCCGGCAACGCAGCAGCTACAGTTCCTCCCTTTATCTCTGACGTGAAGGACAGTCCGGCCAACTCCGGCGATCTCCTTCCCCACCATCAGTGCTCGTCTCTCCGTCTCCTTCTCTCCTTCCTCTTTCTTTCTCTTTTTTTCTCACTTACTCTTTTTTTCTTTTTGTTTCTCTCTTTTCTTGTGTGTAGATCGCTGCTCCCGTAATATATATATATATATATATATATATATATATATATATATATATATATATATGCGAGTGAGAAGGCTCTAGGCTTAGCATATACGTGGGTTACGAAACTTGGCATTAACTTTTCACAGCTCCTACGTTTTTTTTGCACAGCTTAGCCGTTTCGGATATACCATAGTAATGGAGTATAATAATACTCCATGCCACCATATGCATAAGTTGAAAAGTCAACATTTCATTCTTATTATTTTTTTTTACTCCGTACGTTATATTGGTAGTCATAATACATGTACACTATTTGTTTTGAGTATTTTGTTTGAGTTAATTAATAGTCACCCTCTTTTTTTTCCCTTGATGTCATGTATTATACTATGTACATTTTATACGCATACTTTAATCTTCGACTTTTGAATATTGATAAAGTCACTTTATTCATTCTTAATATTTATAGTATTTTATTATCAAAATTATTATATGTCATACGAAGCATGTTTTTTTTTTGTATACTTCTATTTTAAAATTTTCGGGTGTCACATTCTACTCTCCTTGAAAGATGTTTCGCCCCGAAGCATAAGGTATGATTTTAAGTCAAAATTTCCAAGTATTACATTCCACCCTCCTTAAAGGGTTGCTTCATCCCCGAAGCAAGGCTAAGACATAAGTATGAATTACCGAATATTACAGGCTACCCCTAGAAGAGATGATACGTCCCTGCAATTAAGCATTACCTTAATCAAATAGTTCAGGGTAGCGTTTGTGCATATCATCCTCACTTTCCCAGGTGGTGTTTTCGGCCAAGTGGTTAGACCATAACACTTTCACCATCTTAACTGCTTTCCTCCTAGTCTCACGAGTCTTAGTGTCCAAAATCTGGATCGACTTCTCCTCATAAGTCAACGATTCATCCAACTCGCCCACCTAAGAGAGTCGAGGTTAGATGTGATACTTTGATCCCAACTATCATAAGGTTACGATTCATACCTCGGGGCTCAGAATATGTGATTCGTCGCGGACATACTTTTTCAAATGGGAGATATGGAAAACGTTGTGGACCTACGCATAATACAGACTTTAGTATTTGAGAGATATTTACTAAGGTATTCACTAACGAGCGGTTATAATATGTTATAGCTTAGCCAATTCGGTGGGTAAAGCTAGATGATATGCCACTCTTCCCACCCGCTCGAGGATATCATATGGGCCAATGAACCTCGGGCTTAGCTTTCCCTTCTTCCCAAATCTCATTACTCCCTTAGTCGGGGAGACTCTGAGTAGGACTTTCTCTCCTGCTTCGAATTCGGCTGGCTTCCTTCCCAAGTCTGCATAAGACTTCTGACGATCTTGTGCAGCTTTCATCCTCGCTTGAATCATTTTCACTTTCTCCATGGTGTCTTGGAGGTAATCCGGCCCTAACACCACTTGATCTACCATGTCACCCCAGCATAGTGGGCTTCTACACTTTTGACCATATAGAGCTTCGTACGGGGCCATTTTGATACTGGCGTGGTAGTTATTGTTGTACGAAAACTCTATTAAGTCTAAGTGTTCGTCCCATGACCCTTGTAGGTCTAGCATACATGCTCTCAACATGTCCTCGAGTGTTTGGATGGTCCGCTCCGTTTGTCCATCGGTGGTTGGGTGAAAGGCAGTACTCAGCTTCAGCTTTGTTCCCATAGCGGCTTGCAACTCCTTCCAAAATTGAGATAGGAATCTGGAATCACGGTCAGAAACAATGTCTTGTGGAACTCCATGGTACTTAACCACGTGCTTGATGTAAGCTCGGGCTAACTTCTCCATGCTCCAAGTCTCGTTCATTGGGATAAAGCGAGCGGTCTTTGTTAATCGATCGACTATAACCCAAATCTTATCCTTGCCTGACTTGGTTAGGGGTAAGCCCCCAACGAAGTCCATGGAGATGGAATCCCACTTCCATCTTGGCACCTCCAAGGATTGCACGAGTCCCTTGGGCTTGCAACGTTCGGCTTTCACCTTCTGACAATTTAAGCATCGAGCCACGAATTCAGCTATCTCGTTTTTCATTCTCGGCCACCAGAAGTTTTGCTTCAAATCTTTATACAATTTGTCTCCTCCCGGGTGTACCGAATAAGGCGTGTTGTGTCCTTCTTCCATGATTTGCTTTTTAATGTGCTCACACTTCATTGGGACACACCATCTACTCTTATAGCGAACACTCCCATCTTCATGTAACTGAAACGGCCCGTTTACCCCGTTCTTCATCCCGGCCTTGACTCGTTCAAGCTTCACATCTCTTGGTTGATCGGCCTTTATTTCATCGAAGAGAGAAGGTAAAATGGTCATAGTGTATAACCGGATCTCACCCTCTACTTCACCAGGCTCCTTGACTTCTAAATTCAGTCTCTGAAACTCCCGGTACAGCTCTTCCGGTAGTATCCACGTTGCTCGGCTCGTGTGTTCCGTTTTCCGGCTTAAGGCATCAGCTACGACATTGGCTTTTCCCTCGTGATATAGGATCTCCAAATCGTAGTCTTTAACAAGTTCTAGCCACTTCCTCTGTCTATTGTTGAGTTCTTTCTGCGTAAATATGTACTTTAGACTCTTGTGGTCCGTGAATATCTTGCATGGCGGTCCATACAAGTAGTGCCTCCAAATTTTCAGGGCAAATACCACCGCAGCTAATTCCAGATCGTGGGTCGGATAGTTAACTTCGTGCACCCTTAGTTGTCGGGATGCATAAGCTACTACTCTCCCGTTCTGCATCAGTACACAGCCCAGTCCATTCTTGGATGCATCACAATAGATTTCAAATCCATCAGTTCCCGATGGAAGTGTCAACACCGGTGCAGTCGTGAGTCTTTTCTTCAGCTCTTGAAAGGCTTTCTCACAATCATCTGTCCACTAGAACTTTGTGGTCTTCTTCATTAAATTGGTTAATGGTCTAGCTATCTTGGAGAAATCTTTCACAAATCTCCGATAGTAGCCCGCTAGCCCAAGAAAACTCCGCACTCCTGTAACAGTAGTAGGTGCTTGCCACTTGGTTACTGCTTC